AATTCTTCCCTATAAGTCAGCACCAAAAATATGAATAGTTATACGAATGTAAATGTGTGATATCTTACGTTCCGGAACTGGTTCTTCAAGCGCTATAAATTCTGCTGGAAGTACCTCCGGTATCCCACCGACTTTTGTGGAAACGACATGCAATCTTAATGATACTGTTCTCCAACATGAAGTGTTTTTATATGAAAAAATTTCAGCTCATACCCACAACTGGCGGCCTCCACAATGCTCATGCAAAACGCTTCCGTTAAGGACGTGTTGATAAATATCTGGAATAGATTCTGTATATTTGCAACGATAGTACCTACAGCGTGTCTGAAATCCATATAGGGATTTCAGATGCATTTATGTATTACCTCGTAATATAAAACAAGCTTTAAGCTTCACGATTTAATCGATTACTGGTGATGTATTGCTATAAATTCTATAACAATAAAAATTGCTGGATATTTGCCCTCACCTGGCCTTGAACAAGCACTTCTCGCACCATGTCATGTGGTAGTGTACCCAACAGAGTAACACGGCTGTGCAGATGATACTGCTCGCGCATTTCCTCCAGTTCTAATCTCTTCGGACCATCGCCACCAACAATAAATCGCACATGAGGATGACGTGCACATATCTTACAAAAGGATGCAATACAATTTGTAAAAGTAGAGCAAATGATAGAAAACACGAATAAGATTATTAAGCCTTTTGTGTGTGAGCGACCCTTTTTGTGCATGTGATATTAAGACTTTCCCACATTGCATGCAGTATGCAGAAGTACGGACGAATTTCCCAAAAAAAAAATCAGTAAGGCTGATGTCAAAGTCCGCGATCCCTCACAGGTTTCGTGGGTTTCGCGCGATTGACGCACTTCATGCGACGGGTCACAGAAATCACAAATGCCTGATCAATACTGCAAGGTGTTCTTCATCCCGCCGCCACTTCTGCTTGATCTGCTTGATCATTGATGGCTGAATGACGACTGCTCATGATTCCGCTTGTTTCATATTACATGTACTTTTTCAAATATTTTAATGGGGCACATGCAATTTTCGCCGGTCTGCGCCTGCTACAGATCGCAGAATCTGACACCAGGGGCGGTATTCAATCCTTCCCCCAGGGGGATATATCCCCCTCCTCTGATTCAATCCTCTGGGGGGACAAAAAAGGGTTGCGTCATAGGACCTAGCATACCTCTGTGTTTCTACCTGCCAGACAGTTAGAGCAGCGCTACTACCCTCCACTGATGAAGCACTCTTTCCCCTGAGGGGTCGCGCTGCTCTAACTGTCTGGCAGGTAGAAACACAGAGGTATGCGAGGTCCTATGACGCAACCCTTTTTTGTCCCCCCAGAGGATTGAATCAGAGTAGGGGGATATATCCCCCTGGGGGAAGGATTGAATACCGCCCCAGGTCAACCTTTTTTTTAGAATATCCTCGACATGCGGGCAAATTGGATTTCAGAGCATTCATCGTGTTGTGTATGATCGGAGATTGTTTGGTGTTTTTTTAGCCGAGGGTACCGACTATAGATAGCGTTCGGTAGGGTAATTCAGAGAAGTTTGGTTCAGTCGTTCCGTTACGAATTACATCGACTACAATTCTTAAAAAACTCCGACTGTCACTGTTCAGGGGCGGTATTCAATCCTTCCACCCAGGGGGATATATCCCCCTCCTCTGATTCAATCCTCTGGGGGGACAAAAAAGGGTTGCGTCATAGGACCTAGCATCCCTCTGTGTTTCTACCTGCCAGACAGTTAGAGCAGCGCGACCCCTCAGGGAAAAGAGTGCTTTCAGTGTAGTTACGCAACCCTTTTTTGTCCCCCTAGAGGATTGAATCAGAGTAGGGGGATATATCTCCCCCTGGGGGAAGGATTGAACACCGCCCCCGGACAAGCACCGAAAATCGTTTCTCAGAAGTTTTGGTTTCAGATGATAATTTAAACAGCGAAAAAGCGCAATAATAAAATACAAAAAGAAGTTTCTACAGTCTGTTCTGCAAAAAATAAGTGGCGATGAAAAATCCCATTCTACTGGTAGCGGGTTTTATTTCCCATGAACACATTTTCCATAACTGTTCTAATCCGGTGGAAGTGGTGTAGTGGCAAGTGGCGCGCTACCACGCGAGCGGTCCGGGATCAAATCCTGGGTCGTGAGTCGCCCGGGCCAACCAAGCCTTCCATCCCTCCGGGGTCGGTTAATTGGTACCAGACTTGTCTGGGAGGATAAAAACACTGACTTGTACATCGGCTGGCCCCCGCAAGTCATTGTATAGGCCACATCGCATTCAAACGCCACTACGAATGTACAAATGGAAGTAGAATGCGTGCCGCATCCCAAAAGGGATTGATCAACGGCAAATGCTTTATCCTTTTATCTAAAAAAAACTAATCCGGAGTGAGCAGAAGTATGGAACTTCAGCGGAAACTTTGGAAACGACAAAGTTTTAGTAACACTGCATAAAACACATAAAAACGTGGCCGCTCAAAAAATAGCAAAACAGCTCCACAAAGCGTACCTTCGGAATGATTGCACAGAGAAGGTCTGCACCTTTTCTATACACCAGCGTCCCAAAAATATGATAGTGGTTGGATTTCCATAAAACATGTTTTTCGGATCCGGATAGAAAAGTCTAGTTTCGATAGCATTCGGTATAGTGAACACTTTTCGCGGATCAAGCTTCCCACGCAGTACTGTGTTTTCCTTTGCTTAAAACTGCTTAACTCAAATATTAAGTGAGTGACTGATTACAACACCATCGAGAAAATAAAAAAAGCGCAAACACACCTGGTGTACGAGACACAAATCACTCTGTCGACGTTAGCTAAAGAATACTGAAGAACAAGGGTGTTTGTAAGAATAGCCGAGGCATCGGCAAAACCGAACAATGAGTGATCGGTGAAAACTGTTCTGATACCCATCAACCAGCCATTGAACATAGCCTCGTGAGCCATTGAAGAAAACGTCTGTACAGCGACAAATGTGCAAAGAACAATTTTGTAGGATAAACGCGAAAAACCTACTGAATGTCCATGTATGAGCTGAATTCTTTCTCTAAGAAAGATTTTCCTCAGCCAAGGCAAGCTACCAATAATTGTCGCAAGGCTACAGCCATTGTACACAACAAGAAATGGGAGGTAATAAACCTGAAAATGCATATTATAATATAATCAGATCATTATTACTTCTTGTTTGTGTGACTGAAAATACCTTTAATCCATTAGAGAGATAGCGTATCCCCTTTCTATCACCATAAGCATGAGTGATCACGATGACCTGCAAAATAAAGGCACAGGCTTAGTCCGGTTTCCGGTTGTTTTTTTTTTGAATTCTTTTGCTTGCCCTTCGGAAGGTTCACGTCTGACAGGAAAGGTCTTTCAGGACATATAGCGCTTTTTCGAAATGGTTTTCTGCATGTTGTAGGGGCTCATGCGAGGAACACAGAACCATGATCCATTTTTCCTGAACGCCTCCAGGAATGTCAAAACAGTGGTGAAGAAATGGTCCAGAGTTCGATCCCCGGTGATGACTAATTTTTGCAATATTTGGCGCCCCAGATTGCCGCCAAATGGCGCCATCGTCGAGAATAGATGTCATTGTCGTGTTTTGCGGCAATTTGGAGGCGCCAACATAAATTGCAAAAATTTGTCATCACGGAGGATCGAACTTTGGACCATTTCTTCCCCGCTGTTTTGACATTCCTGGGGCGTTCAGGAAAAATGGACCATGGTTCTGTGTTCCTCACATGAGCCTCTACAACATTCAGGTAACCATTTTGAAAAAAAAAAACGCTCCATGTCCTGAAAGACCCCCTCCCTCGTGAGTAACCAGACTGAACATTATTTTGGGAAAGGGGAGCAATTTCGAAGCTGAATCACTTTCCAAAAGAGAACTTCAAGCACTTACTCCAAGGACAATTCACAATTCGAGGCAAGTCACCTTGTTTACTGAAAAAAAATCGGTGGACGCCACCTAGCCTAAAACTCAGAAGGAGCCAATGAAAACACAACCGAGTCCTAGTACTGGCAGTAACTAGAAGCGCTTACGCAGAGCGCTGTAGAGCATATCACTCAATCATATCATTGTTTATCGGTCCATGGCAATTAGTAGCCCTATGCAACAAATGACCATGCCGGTGGAGCATGTGCTTCAATTCGGTTCTAATTTTCACAGAGGCAGTGCGGTAGTGGAAGAGGCCCAGGCCCATTGCTCGGAGAACAAATCGCGGGTGAAACTTCGCGTTGGGCGACCATGACTCTCTAACTAATCAAAGAATTTGTAACCATAGCTAAGGAATCGCATGATTTGTTGGCGAATCTCCCACCTGCCTTACTAAAGATTTACATCTTTTCACACAGTGTCAAGTGACCGCCCCAACCCCAACCCTGAAGTGCCTACGTTCCCCCTGGCTCACGGATTCTTCGTTTCGCACCAAAGGGGTGGAGAACCGTGCGCCGCAGCGGCGACTCCACCCTCTCCCCCCATCAGGGTGAACCGTCCGTTGGACAAAGTCCAACGAGGGGGTCGTATTCGGCCGACCAAAAGAGGGGGGTCGTATTCGCAAAGGTCAACGTCGCAATACGTAGGTGAGAGGCATAACTTTCGAGTGCTTCTCCAACTACTAACCACAAACGAGTGCATGGCGCACCTCAGAGCAGAAGAGTCTACTGCAGTAGTGTCCATATGTGACTGTTCACGTACACAAATATGCTTCTGAGGAGAAACAATGTCTTCAAACTGAACCTGTTAGTAAAAGAGTGACCACTTGGGTAGGTTGACTGCTAAAGGCTAACAAGAGAAATTTGGGAAAAATTTTTCCGTCTGTTGGCGACTTCCTGAAAAGGATTTAGTATCTGTTATGAAGCACAAAGCTAGTGCGATGTTACGGTACCATTATACCAAATGAAATTGAGTCCGAAGGGAGTTTTGAAAAGAGTTTCAGGTATTTGTTAGAAAGCTCTAATCTTCTAGTTTTTTGAAAATTTTACCCCCCCCCCCCCTCCTTTTAGCCGACTCTCGATACGAGGCCCTCCAAATACTTCTTAACTACATATACACTAGGTGATTGTGTGTGTTTGCGTGGAACTTCGTACTACTACTTCGAGCGCTACACAAGATTGAGCACGATAGCATCGCGTTTGCACTACTGGCGCGTACAATCTTCCCCTCAGCCCGCGTACGGTTAGATCGAGGCAGAGCTCTAATTTTCAAATGAGTGTAATTCAGTTCAACCTCAATATTTTTCAAGACGCGAAGCAGATTTGTAATCTTCGAGACTGCTGGTTTCGGAACTCTACCACGTTTATGCTGTATCTCCACAA